GGACCAGATAAGTGACGATCAGTAAAAAAATAATATTAAATGTGCTTAAATCACATAGTACAAATAAACGAAAAAAAATTGCCTCGAAATGTGGTGGATTGACATTAATTCAACCTACAGGATCTAAAAAACCGTGTCAATCTAAAAAATCTAGATCAGATAGAACTAGAGCCTAGTTGTTATAGTTCCTACATAAAAATTAACCAGTAGGCACTAATTTATTTCAGAATTAATTTATCCAAAGGCCCTTTTTAGGGCCATAACACCCAAAGGCCCTTTTTAGAGCCATAAAACCCAAAGGCCCTTTTTAGGGCCATAACACCCAAACGCCCATTTTAGGGCCACTCAACCAAAAGTTCGCTACAAAATCCAAAGACCCTTTTCATGGTCATTTAAACAATCAAATTATATTACTTTAACGATTAACTTAACAAAACAAAATTTGTAGAAAAAGAAATACATGGACGCTTAACCCACCAACAATTCTCATTAGATATTAGCCGACGTTAAAACCCCAAATTATTATATCTCAGAATAGCAAATCAAAATCTTTCGAAATCAACTGAAAATTCGAACAAATACACCAATCCCCCCCTCTCCATTCTTTACTTAAACCAATATATCATTTTACAAATAAAATATAACGACATTTATAAAATTACCGGAATCCCTTATCTAAATTATATGTTTCTCCTAAAAATGGTAAATCTTTATACATTATATACATTTTTATGTTAGGTGTAAAATAATCTTTTATAAACATTATATTTTTGATAAAATTTTTCTGTGATATCATTTATTAGAATGATATTATTGTATGGTAATATTGCACTAATGGCAATAAAAACAAAGTGGCTATTTATAAAAAAGATCAATATCATATGCAAAAATTATTTTAAAAAATTAATTTTTCTTACTTTAACCATTAAAATGTGATCATATGTAATTTATAAAAACCTATATTTGTTCTTGCAATTTTTCGAATGATAGATAATATATAGAATTTAGCTTACTTTTTAAGTAATAAAACAATATTAGAATACAATAAAACAAAAAATAATTTTAAATTTTTTTATAAAATAATAATACGCCTCATGCGGATTTAATATCATTGAAATTTAAAATATAATTATATTAAAAGATTTAAACGATTTATTATGAGATAAAAGATAATTAACTATTAATGTATATTTCTTTATTATTGAATATATCTAATATTTAATTTTTTATAAGTTATTTATATCATAGGAAAATGGATCTCACTACAAATAAAAGATAATATATAAAAAAATTTACATAAGCATTCGCAGTTTACCTTAGCATTCGCAATATAACCGAAAAAAACAACAAATTAATAATTTTATTTTCATTTCAAAATATAACAATATAAATAAAAAATATTAAATCATATCATGTTTATTTGTTGATAATAAAGTATTTACATTAAATATAAATAAAATAAATTGTTTTACTAAAATAAATAATAATTAATGCTAGGCATCGAGGCAGAATTTTTGACTAATTTATTTTAGCCAATTTTTAGGCTTAGGTGTACTTTTTAGCCGATTAAGCAACACTATTTGTACATAATATTTTATAATTTATAAACAAAATAAAATCAATGACATATATATTTCTTATTGGCAACGTGTTGATAATAAAGAAAAAGTAAATAAATTTTAAAAAAAACGGAAATGTAAATACGTAAATAATGGTTCGATAAAATAACTTGAAAATAATACAAATGATAATGGATTAAAGAAATTCAAAATATTCATGGGTAAATATATATCTGTAAAAGGGGCTGGGAGGATCTCAAGACATTCCTATAAAATTTAAAAAAACCTAAACAAAAACAAAAACGAGAAGTTAAAATATTTATAATGTTAAAATGTAACGAATTCATTCTTATATACGCGTTTCTAATTAAGATAAATAGGTTAATTTATAGGCATAAAAAAATAGCAGATTCTAATTGCAGCGACAAAGCGTATATAGAACAAGAGAATCATTGCTTCCCATACAATTTTGCTTAAAATATTCTCGAATAAAATTAATATTAGTTTTATGCTGCAATAAAAATATATACTATTTTATTTACTAATTTATAAAATATTTAATATTATTTTTTTTATTACGTAAAAAAATGATACTATTTTCAACTACGTTTTTAACTAGAAGCAAATTGATAATTGCTTCTTCATTTTTAATAATAAAAGAAAAACTTCAAGTTCATGTTCAAAAAAAGGAACGCGTTCACGTTCATAAAACCGTTCAAAATTTTACGATAAATTTTTTTAAAATTTAATTTAATATAAATAAACTTATATTTTTTAATACAATATATTTTAGCCATGTTAAAAAATAATATAGTTTTATTTTGATAATATAATTATAAATAAAAATAATATAATTATAAATAAAAATAATATAATTATAAATAAAATATAATATAACGAATAAAAAGATATTTTTATTTATAAAAAATTTTTCTTATTAAATTTTAATAAGAATTGTTTTCAGGGATTGCGGTATTATACTTAATAAACAGCTCTTTTAACGTGGAGAATTAATTAAAAACATATTGTTTTATTATTTGCAAAAAAATGTGATAAGTTATCCTCCTCCAATCCATTCTCTACTCTCAATAAAAAAAAAGTATATCTCGAAATTAAAAGTTATCTAGGGTTTTCAAAGCATTATTTTCAATGACGCTATAAGTTTATTTTTAATAGGTTCGTTCTGTGGAAGTTTTATCCATGGCCATTGAAGTTTGAATGCTGGATGTATAATTGCAGAAAGAACATATTATATGTTTAAATCTTTAAAAAAAATAAAATATGAGTAATAGATTTAATACCTTTTATTAATCGCCTTTAATATGGCGTCTATAAATGGTTGACCATATTTGAGGCCACTAATTATTTTAATTTTAAAATAACTATCGTTATTGTTGGGGTCAAATATCCCAAATGCATTATTTCTTCAAATTTAATGATTTAACTTAGTTATATCAAAAATCAAATAATTAATATTAAAATCAAATATCGTTTTAAATTGCCTGAAGATTTTGACAATATAATACCTTTTGGCCACTTTACACTTGGTAAGCATTGGATTAGTTCCTTCAATATAGGATGATAATGTAAAACATTTATCATATTTGGCCATAGTAATGATAATTCATCTTATTTTGGATTTTCAGAATCAGATGATGAGGATTAATCAATAATATCCATGCTTATGCTAATCTACTAAATTAAAATATAAACAATTCAAATTAATAAACTTTAAAAAAATTGAAATGTGAAAGGAAATATACAGCCGATTAAAAAATATAAATAATACATTTTTTTTAAAAATTCGAATATTAAATTTTTCAAATAAATAAAAATATTTTTAAAATTGAACGAACGTTAAATTCGAACGCGTTCGTCATAAAAAAGGAACGCGTTCAAGTTCAAAGTTCGTCAAAAATAAAAGGAACGCCGTTTATCATTTTTTTAAAAAAAACGAACTTCGTTCACGAACGCGTTCATTTTGAATGCGTTCGTTTACAACACTAGTTAAATTACATTAGAAAAGGATGTTGATGTCGTAACAGACCCTTTAAAAATTAATATAAACATAATAGCAATAAAAAAATTCAGCCGAACTGGTGAAATTTATATTTTCTTCCATTGTCAATCGGATGAGATATTAAATTATTTCGCTAACTCGGGTTATAAATTTAATATTTAAATTAATAAATCGATGATTTACAATTAAAATCCAATTTATAAATAGAAAAAGTATTTGTATTCGTATGAAATTAAAAAGGTCGTAATAAATACTAAATCCTTTTTTATTATTCAAATCCTAAAATATTCAAAATAGAAATATGTATTTTAAATACAAATAATCGTGTTACTGCCCAACCCTGAGTATATTTCGAAAACTATTATCTTTAGGTATAACGAAAATATCTAAATAGAATTTAACCCGGAAAATATCAAAGGCTTGTGTAATTTTGAAATTTTTATTTTTTTATTACTAAACTAACATATTCTCTAAAAACTTTCTTCTCAATAAAGAATAATTTCATTAAATTACAGCACAACAGATTACTTAATGTCAATAAATCAATATATATATTTTTACTAAATATAGCTATAGGTTAATTAAAAATATTTTATTTTAAAATTTTCATCATGTACTTTTATCATATAATAATTTTTAATTTTCTTGTGTTGAAATGACCAATAGAAAAATAAATATTATACGTTTGAATTTCATTTTCCTTAGCATATAAATTTTTCCCCGCGGTTTATATTTGAATACTAGGATAGTATTTCAGAAACGTTTCGATACTTGCAATGAGCTGGGTTGGATCGCCTACTTGAGCTGGCAAAATTAAATGAAGGCTGGTGTGGGACTGACTTCGATATTAATATTCGAGAGTTTGTGTTTAGGTTATATTTTTTTTTATATTTAGTAGATTTTATTGATAAATAATAAATCTGATATATTAGCAACATTAAAATAATTTTTTAAAATATTTATTTTATATATAGGAAAAAAATAAAAATACTTATGATAATACCTTAAAGTTTAATTAATGATATAAATTTTTGGGGCCTAGGCCAGGCTTGAGCAATTTTTTATAACACTTCTACTATCTTTTTTTTACTACCTATGGCTGGGCATGAGTCAAATTTTTAAATATATTCTAAAATACAGGCTGGCTTTAATTTAAATATTTTCTAAGGACTTAAGTATAAGTATGACAACAAATTTTCGGCACAAACAGGCCTCTGATTTAGAAAATGTTTGTGATTATTCCTTTCGAGTAATTAGTATACGTTTAAAACGATATTTATTCGTTTCCTTTCAATTGGTGATATCTCCTATTACAAAAACTAAAATGATAAAACGACGCTTATTAAAAACGTATAATTCAGCAATGATACAGGTTTTTTATAAAAAAATATTTTATCTACAAATATTAAAGCAAGCTTTATTGTTAAAAATATATGTGGTATTTAAAAAAATATTGTAAAAATGTGGAGTCATAATATAAAAATTATATTCGTGTTATATAAAATAAATATAATTTAGTAAATAATTTATATTATACTAAATGATTGGATAGCATGATTTTTGAATGAGTTTGCAGGGATGGGGTAAGAGTGTTGTGTTATTTTTATTTATCTAATATAAAAAAATTGATTTGGACTCCGAAAATTAAGATTTTAAAAGCTTTGAAGATGGAAAGAAATGTATTCTATAGTAGATGAGCAGCTTATAAGTGAGTCCCTTATTCAAAAAAAAATTATAAATATTTCGATAATAGGAAGACCGAATAACAAAATAAGACAAAGAAAGTTAGAAAGGATAAATAGAGAAGAGTACATATAAATAGTAGGAATTTTAAATTAAATTGTAAGGGCGAAAAAATTAAGTTAAAACGAATTTAATTTTCATCCAATGACATTGGCAAACGATGCATTTAAATATATTTTTTGGAAAATATATCATACTTTTCGATGCAGAAACATAAATAATTATAGGAATAAATAGTATTATATTTTTTAAATAGGGCTTAAAAAAAATACATATATGCTTTAGATGAAATTACAAATTTTTTTCTTTTTAATCTTAGGTGTTGGGAATAGTACGGCTCTTATAGCTTCATCGAATACAGTTTTGAGTCCCTTTTGGTTTAGTGCACTGCATTCGAGATATTTGACGGCGCCAATCTCTTTCATCATTGCTAAACCCTAATAAATTTTTTGTGTGATTTTGGTTGAAATTCATAAAATCTTTATTTATTGATTTAATTTTCTTTTTTAAAAATGCTTTAATTAGTCATTTCTGGCGCAAAATTTAAAAAGCTGTTCCATCGAATCCTTATAACTTAATAAAGTTATAACGTTTTCTTTCAAGCTTTCGTTAAATTTTTTTACTTTTTATTTAAAATATTTCAAGAAATATAGTTTTCCTTAATTTAAAAATAGATTTAGCAGCAACACACGTTGGGTTTAGAGTCAGAATAATCGATGATGACCCGAGCACGAGTTGAAAATACATACAGATTCGTAAACCAAACCAATGAGCAGACCCACAATTCTGGGCTGAGTTTTAATATTGTAAAAAGTTGGTAGTATTGTTAAATAATCGAAATTTATACAGCTCCAAAAAAACTCATGTCGAAATGGTAAAAAACTACTTAAACGTTGCCTTAATGAGCTGAATCGCGAGTATATATCCTACGTCGATTGAGCATTGTGAGTTCAAATCGTGAGTTGATTAGATAGCTTATTTAAGCTCAAAACAAACAAATATTTTTATTTAATGTTAAATTAATTTACTCATTAATAAGTTATTTGCTATTCTTATTAGTGCTGTGAAGTAACGTCAACGACGTTACTTCTTTTGAAGAAAAGGAATACCATTCGTTACCTTCTTCTAGAGGTAACGAGTAACGGTAACGCGTTTCTTTTTTTTGAGTAACGGTAACGCAAAACGTTACTTTATATTTTTCTTAAAAAATATCAACAAAATATTTTATTGTATTATAAAATTACTTTTTTTTTAATTATTAATATAAATAATTTAATCCGAGTTTTAATTCATATCAACCACTGCCTTCATTTTTATTTTAAATTCTCGTTGTTAAATTTTCTGTCGAAATTAATATTCAATCAAAATTCAAAGTAAATGTTAATAATGATATTATTATTCTTATAATTTATTTTTAAGAATATTATGTCCATAGTACTTACTTCTTCAGAAGATGATTTAACCCTTCCCTGGCCCCAATTTGAAATATATTTTAAACCAATAAAGAAAATTAATGGTACTAAGTCTACACTTTGGAAATGTAAATTATATCTCAACACAAATATTTCAACCTCAATGTCCAGCAGTTCAAACTTAAAAAAGCATTTGAAGGTAAAAAGATAAATTAATATATCATTATTTTAAATATTACTTTAATAATAGAATAATATTTTGAAAAGCTTAATCATAGAATTAAAATATAAGCAGGGCTGTGTCGATATTAAATATCGGATCGGATTGGCACCGATATTTAAAATTTTCCAAAAATATCGGATCGGGCCGATACCTGTAAAAAACAGATCCGATTTTTTTATTTTTTGTTTTTTATTTTATGTTATGTATATTTATTTTACATTATTATAATATTTTCTAAATAATTTTTTTTTAAACAATGCAAATGCACAACACCCTCTAAATTTTATTCTTTTTTAAAATAGATTTATAGTATTTCAAAAAAAAATTTTATAAAAATAGAAAGGAACACCCAAAGTTTTATTTATTTTAAATCTTTTAAATACGCCAAATTTGAATTTTTTTAAATATGGTATATGAATTATGGAAATATTTTACAAAAGACAAAGATAATTTTGCAAAATGCGTTATTTGTGGAATCATCTGAGTTTACCTTCAGTACGGCAGGGGATATAGATACTCCATATCGTAGAAGCTTATTGCCAGAAAATCTAAAGGTTCTCGTATTTATTTTAAAAAATCTAATAAATTATAATTTTATATATTAAACAATTGTATAATTCATACCAAAATAAAATGGATATATTATAAATATATGTTTTTTAAATTATAGTTTTAATAGAAATAAAAAAAATTAAATTAAATGCACAATTTGATTTTTTGCATAAAAAATATTGATTTTTAATTACTTGGTTCAATATAAATATCGGATCGGTATCAGTATCATCAGTTTTGGTGCAATATCGGATTGGATCCGTGAAAATATGTGGATCGACACAGCCCTAAATATAAGTAATTAAATTATACTACAATATTGGGCTGGAAACCAACATTAAAAACCCAAAATTAACAAAATATTGGTGTTGGTTCAAAGTATTATATTGAGTTTTTTATATCTTCTATTTCTTGTTTTAGTATTGCTATTGGTTTGACTATAATTGTCAATAAATTTAAAGAATAAAAATAGTGATTTTAAAAAACTTTGTTTAAATAATAAATAAATATGAAAGAGTGGCATAGCCAGGATTTATCCAATAACAAAATTTTATAGAGAATTTTATTATAGATTTTATTTATTATTAAAATACTATATATAACATCCCATTATTTAACCAGCTGTGTTGGGCACTAAACGCTCTGGTTTGTCTGATCAAAATTTTGAAATCAATTGTGCTAAAAATAAATAAAAAATTGTTACATAAAGATGTTATCTTATAATATATGATTTTTGTATAATTTTATTTATATTATAATTAAATATATGAATATTTTTTTTATAAAACGATCTTATATATTCTTTTTGAATAGTTTTATTTTAATATATATTGTCGGAAAAAATAATAATTATTTTTGTATATTTAATTTTTTTAAGTAACGAATAGCCCGTTACTTTTTTGAAAAAGTAACGGTAACGCGTTTCTTTTTTGTGGTAACGTTTTCTTATGCGATTTAAACTTAATCTACCTGCCCAATTTGACTAAACTCAAACTGATTCAACCAAGTTACAATCGATCCTTTCGATTGACCAGAATTAGACCAGGCAAAGTGGGCAAGTATTTAGAAAAAAGTTATTATAATTTAAAAATATTAAATAAAAAAAATCGCTTTACCCTTATGTTTACGAGTCATAATTTAAAAATAGATAAAAATTTCCACATCATATACGATGAGTTTATTTTATTTAACAGTGAAGTTTCTATGGAAATTAATTTGTGAACTCCATTAAAATTCTGTCGATTGATAAAAGAAAGAATGATTTTTCTTCATAATCATTAAGCTAAAATGCGTTCTGGTATTTACAATTTTAAAATAAAAAATTAAATAGTGTTTCTAGGTTTGAGATTTGGCTAGAATTTTTTAAAAAAACAAATTTTTACATCATTTCTAGCTTATTTTAAAATTTGACCATAATTAGAATACAATTTATATGAGCAAAATTTACAGCTCTGACTTTTTTTATATTATATATAATTTGATGGTAAAAATAGGATAAATTTTATAAAATATGAATGAAATCTCCAGCCGATTTAAAATATATGAAAAATGAGGATAAAAAGAGTTTGATAAAATATGAGATAAATTTTTAGGAGACAATTGGCATTTAAAGAAATTTTATATTTTGGATAGTTTAGCGAGATTTTAATTATTTCTCCCAAACAATTCGCATTTTTTCCCGCGGAACAGAAAGTCATTTAGCGAAGGTCTATATACTTTTTAGTAAATGGTAACTTTATTTATTATATAAAATTAAATATAACATATAATGCATTTACTTTCAAATTAAAAATGACAATTTAACAACCTATTGAAAATTTTGTGATTTTTTGTAAAAATATAACATTAAAAATTTATTTATAAAATTCGAATTACGCTAAAAGAATATTTGAAGAACCCTTATTTTATCTGAACTTGACTCTTTACTTCTCCTCCCATATTGGATATATTCCTCGCACAATTTCTTTAGGTTTATAAATAATGTTATCTCCATTCATAGAAAATTTTATCTCCTTTTTAGAAGAACATTTAGCCCACCAATGACGTCCTTTAGATGGCCCAATTTTTAGATGTTTCAAACATATCGTTAGAAATTGAATCTCCCATTTTGGATTGTTAATTTCCTCACTAAATTTCTTTTAGGTTCGCATATAATTTCCATTTAACCGATAATTTCGCCTCTATATTCAAAGATGTTTATTTCTATAAGACTTGGATATTAATAAAATCCTCATGGTCATCTCTATCTACACATATCAATCAACAAATCTGATATTGCCTGAAAACACAACAAAATGGTGGTCTCAGATATAACTGCTATTATTTTTTAAATTTATATATTCATTTTCATTTTTAAATTAAAAAAATTATTTCAAAGGTTTCATTTCTTTATTTGTTATCTTTTTTAAACTCATTTAATAATCATATAATAGATTTTTATATTTTCTCCTAATAATATATATATATCAGAGACCTGCAGAGATACCATTTGCATGGCCTGGCCCAAATTTTTTTTTAAATATACGGCCCAGCCTTGTGTATTTTTTTTTAAAGTTTTTCAGCCCGGCCCATTTTTTTAAAAAAAATTTCAGGCCCGGCCAAGGTATGTATAAAAAAATTAAAATATGGCCCGTCCGATATATATATCTTTGCCTTCCAAAATCTTTTTCCCCTCCACTATATAATCCTTTCTAATCTGTTATATTAAATTATGCAGACATTTTTTCCCCTTCTTAAACTTCAAAAGACGTTATTTAAGGTGGTACTTTGAGTTCATATAAACTAGAGATTTGAACTCAAATGACTAAGTGGCTCACGATAATTACTCGCAATTTAGTTTATTAAGTCAAAGTTTTTGCCATTTTTTATGATTTCGATTTGAATTGCCTCAATAGATCTCATTATTGTTAACTAAAATACAACTCAAATAATTATGGTTTAAAATATGTAAATATTTTTCCTATTTTTGCATCCATATTATATATTCTTCATTTTGTTATTCTCCCCTCTTCCCTTATTTCCCCATAACCCTTTCTTTTTTTATCCTTTTCGCTCTAGTGTATATTTAAAACAAAATAAATCGAGTCAACATACTTGTGGATAGGTAATGGGGGCCAATTTCTTTTCCTTTAATTTTTCCAGTATTTCCCTATTTTCCCTGAGATCCAATTTTGTTCCAACGAGAATTATAGGTGTGCCAGGACAGTGATGAGATACTTCGGGGTACCACTAATATATATTTTATGATAATAAGTACATAATTTATAAAAAAGGAATATAATAATTGTAGACATTTTTCTAAACTGATGGCTAGCAAAGATTCCTACCATGGGGTAGGGAGGGGGGGGTGCAATATCGTCATTGAAATTGAAGGGATATGAACACATTATCAATTTGAATAAAACCGGAGGGTGGTAGTTTTGATTTTAATTTCCCTTTTAGTCCCTGTGGTTTATAAGGAAACATATATTGGTATTAATCTTAATAGAGCCTAGTTCAGTCTCGGACAAATGGTCTCTCGGATTTAGTTAGGAAAGACCTTTATTTTAAATTTTTCATTAGGGCCAAACCAGCTTGTGACAAAATTTTATTTTACTATAACAAAAAAAAGAAAAGATGATCCCAATTTGAGTTATTAATTATTACTACTTATGTTTTAACTCTAAATGGCAATACAAAGGTTTTGATAGTTTATTAAAATTGAGGGCTGGAACAAATTTTTGAATTAGTTCTAGTTGTAATAATGAATCACAAAAATATTGGTTCCTTTAAAAAGATTAGATCATAATAGACTTTCAAAATTTTAGCAACTGGCTCACTAAAATATTTGCAAAAAAAAATTATTTTAGTTACTTGATTGCTTTATCATTAGAAAATCGGCATATATAAATCATTAAAAAATAAATGTCACGAAAAAGAACTTTGTGTAAAAAAAAATTTAATTTTTTTAGGGCATAAAATTTGATACAAATTATAAAAATAAAAAAATGTTAGAAATATAGATTAAAGCACAAAAATTTAGCATGTATATAATAAACTTATAAAATATTCATAAAAAATATAATTAAGAACCATAATATAAATTTATAATGGAAAATTCAATTTCCTTTGGGGTTGTGCTAATTTTTTAATAATTTCAACAGGGCTTGGTGCCAACTCTCTATGATTATTAAAAATGGCTAACACTCATTCTATCTATTTTTAGAGGTAGCATTTCTCAATAGTGTTCTTGAACATCTCAATTTGAGCCGATTTCTAAAAACGAGTAACTCAATATTTAATCCAGAAAAATATTATGCAAACTTGACGTTTTGCTCATAGGTGACATAAAGATTTGGACATCTATTAGCAAAATCTCGAAGCTTAGGCAATATTGTTTTGTAAAATATTTAGCTAGCCGTTTTTATAGATTGGTTCAAATTGATATGTTTTTATTCTTGTTAAAGGAGAAAATTTTCTTTCATTGGTAGAAGTACTAATAAGTAGTTGCCAAAATATATATTAATTTTTATAAAATTAGTCTAAAATATGTTTGAAATGAAAAGTATCTAAAGGATTTTTTGGAACATTATCAACCATATTTAACCTTTTATACCATAGTTTGCATTCAGCTAGTATTGCATCATGAGATAATTTAACATCCTCACAAAAAAATCTACAAAATATTTAATTTTTTCTCTATCAAGATTTAAAATAGTTTTGGAAGGATTATGCAGTAATAATATTTGCAGTTTATAAGTGCTATCTGATGATCAAGAACCTTTCATTCATTTGAGTTATAAAGGTATTAGATTTATTTTATAGCATTCTTTGACTAACCCTATATTAATATTAATGTGTTTTCCTTGCTGAAAGTTGAGGTAAATGAATATTAAATTCATAGAGCTCTGCTTTTGACTCACAATAATACATATTTTATGAAATTTGTGATCTACATTTGCCCCAATTTCCTTAATTTAAAGTATAACTTTCAGCTATTCTCAGTCTCCTTTCAATAGTTTTTGAGTGTGCTTCCTTTCTCAATATAGTTTTAAATATAATTCCCAAAATTATTTGTTAACATTTCTAATTTTTCCTTTCATTTATCCAATATATTATTTATTTGGGGTAAAATGTTAGCTGTGCCCAATAACATTTTTTAGCAAGAATTTATTTTATGGTAGTGGTAAAAATTTCTTGCTTAAGAATATATTTTGAAATAAAGTATTGTTCATTTTTAATTAAAATTGACCATTATTTTTGTAGGTACAAAAATCATTCTTTATATTTTCCAAGTCTGATATATCAACTTATTAATTTATAGACTTTTAATAAACCTTGACAAATTTGCTAAAATCTTTTGGGAGCCAGGCAAATCCCTTATTTGGGAGTTCATTATGTCTCCTCATTCATATTAGATAAAAATTCAAATTCTAGATAACAGCTGATAGATAAGGAAAATGTTTTAAACTAACAAATTATATATTCATTATAATTGTTCTGAAATGGAAATTTTTATACAAACTTATAAATTTTTAAAACTTCAAATCAATAAAATAAAAGCATTTTCAAATAAACCAAGTGAATTTTTTGAAAAAAAATGCAAAAACCAACAAATATATTATAGTTTTTATAAAATCTTAATGATGTGTAATGTGGAAAATAAGAAAATATAATCAATAAAGAAGGTAAGATAAAGGTGGCGATGAGAGGGGGGGGAGGGTTGGGAACTGGATCAAAAAAATAGACAAATAGTGCCCCAAATTTAGTTATATTTATTTATTTTTAATATGGATATGTGAGAAACTAAAAAAATTAATGAAACACAAACAGTCTTTTAACATATTATAAAAACATTAACATTTTGCATGATATAAAACATTAAACACTTGATATAGTATAACTTTAAACTTGATATAAAATAATATGGTGCAATCTGGAAAATGGGCTGAGAAAATTGTTCAAAATATTTTTACCAGTTGGGCTAAAGTTTTAAAATGTTTTTAATTTTATGGGCTGGGTAAAAATTACAAGCCAGGTCAAAAAACCGAATAAGAAATTTTAATGGTATAACAAATGTTCAGACCCAATTTATATAATAAAGTTTTTATTCATATTAAAAATTATTATATTATATTTTATGATCTGTTAATTAAAAAAAAATATATAAATAAGTACCTTTGCTCTGACATTTTCAAAGGAAGCAGGATTTACTAATGAGAAGCATATCAAAAATACATCCTAATATAAACCTTTATTGACAAACCAATACTTTGTAATTACTGTTTGAGGGTAGGATAATGGTCTTAATCTATCATAATCTTCTTGACCAGCTGTGTCCCATAGTCCTAAATTAATAGGTTTACCATCAACCATGACATTTGCAGAATAATTATCGAATCTAGAACATTCAAAAGGGTTAAGATTTTATATAATATAATAAAAATTTTTAAATTTACTAATAACATTTTAAGTATATTGTTTACACAGTTGGTATGTATTCTCCTGGAAAGGAATTTGTTGTATAACTAATTAGTAAGCATGTTTTACCTACAGCACTATAAATGACAAAATTTGTGTTAGATAATTAATAAAGTTAACTAACCCATCACCAACCACAACACATTTTATCGCTTGCATTAAAAATTTTTTATAAGTTGTACACGAGGAAAGCTAAAAAATTAACTTATTTTTTCATTCCTTTTTTATTAGTGTTGTTAAAAAGTCAGAGGCTAGATTTTTCAAAACGGTCTATTAAGATCTTACTGAAAAAATATTATGTAGGCACCGAGTTTTTACAAATAGATGTCCAAGCATTTATAGGAGACTACCTTTTATTTTATGGCATATCACCCATTGCATTAGAAGACAATTATAGTGAATTCTTAGTCATAATATTTATATATTTTTTATATTTTAATTTTAATAAAATTATTGCATTTGAAATAAGAATTATTTATATTTTGATAATATACTCATTTGTATTAATTATAATTGTTAAATTATATTTTTCTAAATACAACAAGAATTACCTATATTTTATTGCAATTATATTTTCTTAAAAATACAGTTATTTACAATAAATTTTTAATATAATGATCTTTTTAAAATTTATACATAATTGAAATTTATTTAATTGTATATTATCATTAAGATAAATACATAGTTAAATAAAGGGATGTTATTTATACTAAAGTAAATCTATATTAAAATTCTCTGCAAAATTTTGTTACATGCAAAAATTAAATTAAATTAATTATTTTTAACACAGAATAAGTTATATTGAGGCATAGGCGTAGCCAGGGGGGGGGGGCAAGGGGAAATTCCCTCCCCCTTCAGAAATTTATCACTTTTTGTAAATATCATTTTTAGCTAATAAAAAATATCCCCCTTAGTCCTCCCCCCACTCCCTGACCCTCAAATATGTATGCATATATCTTAAATAATAATTTAAAAGAAAGAATGTAAAAGTTGATATTTTTTATAAAACTATTCATCATAATTTATAGATTTTTGGGAAAATAAATTTATAAATATATAAAATGAACCAAAAATGTTTTTTAATAAATGGAATATAAGCCAAAGATAAGTCTTAAGACAGAAGTGAAATGTATTATAATTATTAATAATAGATCCATAAAATTACTAAATAATATAATATATCAAATATAATTTTTTATAAAGTGAGTAATTTTAATTTATTAATCTTAATAAAAGTAAAATATAATTTTAAAACTATTGATAAAATTAAATCATAAATTAAAAAAATATTAAAGCACAATACAAACAGTGGAATATTATATGTCGTAGATTTACACTATATCTAATTATATGACAATCAAGTAATTTTTACCAATATAGCGAATAATCTATTTTACAGATAACTATAAAATATTGATAAGGACATCAGAAAATATCTTTTAAAGACATTGTGAGATGAATAATATGAAGATTAAATTCAAACATCATTTTTCTTAAAATAAATAGATGGCATTAAATAATTGAATCCAAATTGTTGCTATATTTAATATCAAGAGCATTGATTATAATTGTAATATATTCTCTAACTGTCAAATATGTCTGCAAAAGTGGAATTTTACCTAGTATTTTATAACTAATTCTATATAATAGAGTAAAATCAACTATATGTCTACTTACTTTTTATAAATAAATTAATTATAATTGTTTGGAATAAATTATTACCATGCTTTTATATTAAGGTATATACAATACAAGCAGCGTCTACATGAGCGGGAGGGGTAGGAACAATTTGCATCCTATTTTTTGAGGGGGTAGGGGGTAAGCTGCTTTAACGCGGGTAGGATAAATTTTTAGGGGGGTTATCTATTAAATTTGGAGATCAAATAGTACAAAATTTATTGCTGTAAAAATTAATACTTTTATTATAGAATTATTATAATACAATTCATCGACCAAATCTATATATTGAAAACAATCATATACATTGTTTTCTAAATAAAACATTCTGATATCCTTTGCAATGTAATTTAAAAGGTTTCGATATTTCAGCAAGCTCATAATGCCATAATAATTAATTTATTGTAAATAATAGAGGTTTTATTACAATTTATTATCTAAAAAATAAATTCTTTATATTCACAAAATATCGATAGTTGGTAGTAGAGATAGATTAATTTAAGTTATTCTTTTCAAATTCTCTGAAAAGAGTATCAATAAATTAAAAGGGTGAAAATAATAATAAAAAGACACCGCCACCAAAGGCGGCGTTAATTTTTTAGGGGGGTAGGCAAAGGTTTTTGAAGTGGGTTTGCATCCAGTGAAAATACTGTCATGTAGACACTGAATACAAGTAATTTATTATATTTTTATTAGTTTATATGAATATATTTCATATAAACTAATAAAAATATATTTCATATAAACTAATAAAAATATATCTCATATAAACTAATAAAAATATATTTCATATAAACTAATAAAAATATATTTCATATAAACTAATAAAAATATATTTCATATAAACTAATAAAAATATATTTCATATAAACTAATAAAAATATATTACATATTTGTTTTTTTTTATTAAAATTTGTAAAAATATTTATGACTATATATAGACTAGAGTAACCCGGCCGAAGGCCCGCCCAAAATAGGGTCTGGGGGCGAAGCCCCCAGTAATTTTTTAATTCCCCCCCTCTTATGAAAATACTGGCTACGCCTATGTATTGAGGGATCATAAAAAATGGGAGGTTTGGGGGAGGTGGCGAATTTTTTTTTCTACGCCGAATGGATTGAATTAATTTACAATTGAACACTAAACATTGATAAAATTTTCAGAAAAATGCTTTCGTCGTCTATTAATCATAAATTTGGCCCAAATTTTGTCATTAATATTTTTTCATTTATGCTGGCCACTTAAGTGGTTAGACACTAATAAAGCACAAAATATTGGCAGATTTTAGAAATGGTATTTCCAATTGTTCAGCCAACTTTAACAAAGATGATTAAAGATAACTACCGAAAAATTAATATTATTTTTTAGGGAACCGGCCGAATGCCGGAGGAAAGGGAACTTGGAGGGCGAATCTCCCACACTACAAAATTTTTTAACCCCCCCCCCTCTATGGATAAATTCTGGCTACGTCACTGTTACATATATTTGCTAATCAAAAGTATAACTTATCAAATGCTTTCATAACCAATAAAAAATTCATTAATGACCTCATTCTAAATGCTTTTATCTTTTAGATTTTCTTATCATATATTTTCGAATAATATTTTTGCTAGTTTCATCTTTTGATTTTGCATTTTTAGGAATTAAAATGAAGTGTTTTTAAAAAGCTAAATTTGGGTCGATTTTTCAAAAGCCCGATTAAGATTTTAGCTAAAATAATAATATGTAAGCATCAAAATTTGGCAAATAGATGTCCAAGTATTTCTGCCAGCTATGTGCATAAACATTGGCTTACATAATGTTATTTTGGTTATAACCTTAATCGGGCCGTTTTTTTGAAATCGACCAGAATAGGGCTTTTTAACAACATACTAAAATGGGACTGATTCAAAAATGAATAAATTTATTGAAAATAAACTCAACTTTTTGAATGATTAAAATCGACGCAAAATGTATTGATCTATTTTATATTTATGTTTTGTATTATTTTGATATGTGGACAGGGTTGCCATGTCTCCCCCCATCAGCTAGAGACTCCCGCAATTTTTTAGTGTACACGCAGACATCTCTCACCCGCAAAACTACCGCAATCGGAAATCTCCCACAAAAATTAACCGCAATTTTTAAATTTCTCCCGCATTTTTTTTTTTAGTATTTGAAAGTTTTTAATATATAAATAATAATTTTGATAGACATTAATTGATTATTTTTATATTTTTAAAATATATTTTAAATATTTATTCGAAAAACATGTCTAATTTGCAAATTTCTTTCTATCCTGTTTTACTTTTATTCAATAATAAATCTTTCATTCATATAAGTCAGTATAGGGGAGTATATCAACATCGATTGCAATACAAAATTATTCTCAAAAATAATCAATAATACAGATGCAACTACATTTGCGGAAATCGTATACATCTATCATGTAGTTCAACATTCACAGAGCTATATCATCACAATGTGCGTCGAATCTTTTTCTCTTGATATATAACAACTCCAATATAAGTGCAAACCTTACTTGTGGCAGAACAAAAATGAGCAAGGCTATCACAAGTGTTTTAGTATCTGAATCCTAGAATTCAATTCTAGGCGATTTGAAAGATGGGCATACATATGCAATTCTAACAGATGCATCAAGAGAAATATTAAAAATTTCCCTCGATCCTTTGCTATTTCAATAAAAATAAGAACATTTCAATAAAACTGTTAAAATTTTTTCCTCGGAGAGTGAAAAATCCAACAATTTAACTAGCCAAATAATGGTAAATATAGCTGATTCAGGGTTATCAATGATTTTCATGTCAGCTTTCTGCGCTGTTAATGCCTCTGTAAATTTTGGCAAAAACCAAAGTTACCGAATTGGGGCAGCACAATAATGAATTAATACCAATTGGCTGTATATGCCATATACTACATAATTCTTGCAAGAAGGCAATGAATGTACTATCTGTGGATGTCGAAATAATTGTGATGAAATGTTTTAACGAATTTAGTTCATCAACTAAAAGAGTTAATGAATTAAAAGAGTTGGTGAAGTAGTCTGACTTGGAATGGTGTGAGTTGTTGTGATATAAACCTACCAGGTGATTATCATTAATACCTGCACGATTGAATTTTAAAATTTTACAAACCCATAAAAAAATACTTCTTAAATAGAGATTTAAAAGCCGTCCTAAAATTTTGATTTGGGATTAAATTTCACATGTAGGAAATCTACTTCATGCAGTTAATATTCAGTTGAAATCAGAATATTCTTTATTAAAAATGATTCACAAATCATGCTACAGCTCTGTTCATCTCTACAGTTAAAAATTGATAATAAATTTTATGGCGCTATTGCTAAAAATATTATATTAAAATGTTCAAATAATACTCTAATTAATACATTTTTATATGAAGCAGATATTTTTATTAAGACAATTTTAGAATATTTGCAATCAAAATTTGATTTTAATAACTCTATTTACAAATAAGTAAATATTGGTATCACGTCAATTCGGCGCAGCTCAATTCGGCACGGCGTCAAT